TGAATGGAATGATAAACATCACCTAGCAAAGTGGGTACCCGATAACCATTCAAGAACATGGCAATAACAGTTGAATTAACAAGTTCTTTTATCTCAGGGAACAACACCAGCCCATATATCAATAGAGCCAAAACTGCTTCAAATGCATCCATACTACCCTCCTTAGGAAGGTAAGTAGCCTTCTTTAATAAGTAATCAGAATGAAAACCTTTAACTCCATTCTTTGAAGCATAATTGGCTTTGATCTCGGATACTTCTAGATGAAGTGCATCAGCAATCTCTTTCAGCGAGGGTAACTTCTCCAAACTACTGAACGGTTTCTTATCTGTCATAGGGATTTCAATGAAGTAAGAGTATTCTTCCAATGTCAGCATCAGTTGGTAATCTGGGAAGGTGAAACAATGGTATAGCGGATCGTAGAACTGAACCAAAGTGCTAAGAACCCCTTCTTCCATTCTAGTCTTCACAATACTCATGAGTTTCCCGTACGTTCTCCCAAAATTTTCGAATACCAACATTCCTAGCTCTCTCAACTTCGTTGTATCACATTTCTTGAAGTTGTATTTCTTAGTGTTTATTTTCCCAAAGTCCATGATATCTAGAGTTTCGCAAAAAGAAGACAACTGAGTTTCACAAAACCAGTGCAACAAGATGAGATGCCATGATGATATGATGACATGATGCACACATAACACATATACAAGTATACACAATGCACAAATGCATATGCTAACAAGAAAGGGTCCTAGGTTCGGGGTTATGAGCATGAAGCCAGGGTATACCTTCCCAAAAGACATATACTAAGGTGTTCATTGTACCTGAAGAACGGGTTCTATCAAGACTTTCTATAGTCGTAGATAAATCCTTCAGATATTATCAACCAACATGACTACTCACGTGGGTCAAAAATATTCTCGGGATAAACTCTTCTGAGTATAGTATTGTGTAACAACTATTTTGGGACTACTCCCTCATAGTCACCACACTACATCCTAAAAAGGCCAAGTGGGGTAAGTGGGTAACTAAAGGTCCTCAGTTTCACGGACTCTCGGGTTGAAACAACTAATGGAATGCATGACTACTCATACACCATTAATTATCTCAAGGAGGTATCAACTGAGCATGGTTACATCATATGTCAAACATGTTAGGACTACTCCCAACAGTCAAATATTGATCATACCACATCCTATCATATGTGTATGCTCAAGTCCGGGTTAGGACTTATCTCACCACTCAAGATATCACCCAAATGATCCAATGTAAACATACAGTTATATATTCACAAATATACATGTATAGGCAAATATACAGAGATATAGCATACAAGCACACAAAGTGGGTTAAACCCTCAATCATTCCCCAGTGAAGTCGTTATTTCTGTTGCAGTGAGAATCAGATATCAAGCTATTGATTAACTTGAATCTTAATTCATGGAAATTCACCACTGAGCTTTAATTTATCTAAAGAAAAGGTTAAAGAAAGAAAAAGCTTTTGCGCGATGTAACAACAACCCTAGAGTTCTGGAGATCGGGGGTTGGTTATCCCTAGGGTAGTTATTCACATCCCAAACATTTGTAGTACTCTAAAGGAACCTTTTGTGTATATGTATGCTTAGTTATCTAAGTTGTTGTTTGCTAGGGTCATGGGATCAAGGTTAAGGTAAAGGTAAAGTTTGAGGTAAAGACCTAAGGATAGTTCTAAGTTTTCTTGCAAAGATATCACATCTTAAGCCTACGTATCCTTATTAGGATGGAATCAGAGAAACCGTAGTTCACCTTACTAAGGTCGAGGAATACTTGACTATGGTCAAGATTCCAAGGGGGGAAAACATAACAATGTTTGTATAGAGTTTAAAAAAACTTTCTAGATCTAAGTTTAACATTCAAGGGGATTGAATTTGACAAAAGCCAAGAGGGGAGTAAGTAATCATGACAATGATCCTTACATAGAGTTAACAAACTCTATCTCAAAGTTCTAATTGAAGGATACTCCTAACAAGTGGTAGGTCTTTAGACTTAAAGAAAAGTCTAACAGATATAGGTTCTAACTTAACTAAGTTAAAGAACCTAATGACTTAACCAAATCAAGGGGAGGGGTAATGAGCTATCTATGACAGTGAAGTCAATAGAGGGACTTTCCTTTGGAATAAGGGAAAACAAGGCAACTGGATGAGAGATAACAAGCTACATCACTTGGGGAAACTTAGCAAAGCCTAAACACGCATATGCATTCATTCAAACATGATGAAGAGGTAAAGTCATGGTAACAACCAAGAATGATAAGGGCAAGCCTGTGACAACATTAAGCGAAGATGATAACATGACAACTTGATGAGAACTGACAAGTTCCATCACTGGGGAAACAAACTTGATAAAGATAAAAAAGTAGGATCGATTAATAAAATGAAAACAAAAATCATGGTTACAACCAAGGTTTTATGATTTAACATTACAATGTTCAAAGATCATGACGGTAACAACCAATAAGGGTAAGCATGATGTTGCACCCTAAAATTTGCCTTAGCCTTTTTCTAACTTTTCCTGGCTCATGTTTCGCGTTCATATGCATCTTCATTAGGTCATATTTCATAATCATACTTTGCATGGTCTTCTAAGGCATGAGATCAGGACTTTCTCGTGATTTTTGTTCTCTATTTAGAGGGTGATTCAGTGGGTTCCTACTTCGGTCTAGTGAAAGCAAGAGATTGAATTTTATTCATTCTAATCTTCTTGTCAAAAGATCATCAGGGAAAATTGAGGTTTCTGATTCATGTTTGAGCTTGTGGACTTTTATCAGTTGAGGTCCATTGGATTGGGGTTTTCATATTAAGGACCTTTGGCTGGTCATGTTTCTTTATGAACTGCACATCTTATATCCATCTTCAAGGTCTCCTCATAGAATTGTTCTTGTATCGAGATCATTGGCCTTGAGGGCAAGGTATCTGTGGACTGGGTTGCAAAGCATTAGGTTATGTTGCAAAATATCAAGTTGTTAATTCATATTGTGCTCCAAGCATTAATATTCTTTAAAGTGTTCATTGCTTATATAAGTCACTTGTAGTTGGAATGTCCAAGTGAGGACCTTCATTGAAAATTCAAGGTGGTTTCCATGGAGTATTCTTTCAGGTGGTCGTTTGAGGCCTGTCTGATTGATGGTTCAAAAGGATTGATGGAAAATGCTTAAGCAGTTGGGTTGTCAGGAATTGATTCAAAGGATACATGTATGTGGATTACTTGAAACTCGAGATATAAGGCCATCATTGACCATTTTTATTTAAATATTCGTTTTGACCACTTTCATATCCACTTTTAACCAATTCTTAAATCAATTATCTCATCCATTTTCCAAACCCATTTTGTTTTTATCCATTCACCCATTCTTCATATCCGATCCAAATTCAGTTTTATCCTTTACCAAGTACTCATATCCAAACATCCACTTCATTCAAGTTTCAAACATCTGCATTAACATTCTAAATCCAATTCATTTTTCTAATACATTTCTTAACCATTTTTGTTACCATAACCAAATTAATCTGATCCAATTTACTCTTGTTTTTTATTATCCATAATCCAAACAAAACATTAGTCCATAGAAGATTTTACCTCATACCCCTACACTTGTACCCATATCCCTACAATTTTTAAAAAATACCAATTTTATCCCTGTATATTTTTTATTATATTTTTTTCACTTTTTACTGTGTCTGATTTTTAGACTTTCGAGAAATTTACCAATCGAACCTACCGAAACACTTTCACAATGACTTCCGGTATGCTGTTTTTTCCAAACCGGAAGACTTTGGCAAAGAGTTCCGGTTTACACAAATTATGTATCGGAAGACTTTATTAAAGACTTCCGGTTTGTGTTTTTTCGGAGAAGTTTACCGGAACACTTTTCTTCAGAGTTCCGATATTTGTAAAAAGTGTACCGGAACACTTTTTACAAGTCTTCCGGTTTGCTAACTTTGTCTGCCGGAACTCTTTTCCTGAGTCTTCTGGTTTGCATTTGTATATATATATTTTTTAAATATTTCTTTTACATTTTTTTAAAAAATTTGGTTTGTATGTGAAATATTTCCCTGGGGAACCACTCTTCGCAAAGTTTACACCTTCGATACCGTTGAAGAGTTCTGGTGGTATGTGTTTTTCGCAATTCCCTTAAATTCATTGCGTTTTCATTGAATTTAAGCTCGTAATCTGAAATATTCAATTTCAATTTGATGTAAAAACTGTAATTTTTTTATAGAGCTTAGGAGTGAAAACCTAGAGCATGTATGTTACATATTATTTTATGTAATTATTGTTATTATTATTTAAAGATTTGGGTTTTGGTAAATGCTGATAGAAATTTGATGAAATTGTTTGTGATGTGGAAATGTTGTAGTTTGCATGATCAGATATTCAAGCCTGGGGAACCACTCTTCGCAAAACTGTTTGAGTTTTGTATTTTTTTTACATTTTTTTTAAAATTTGATTTCAATTTGGTTTTTTAAATATTTCTCTTAAATTTATTTTACTTTTAGAGTTCTGGTATGTACAGGTGAAAAAATGAGTTCCGAATGACTTGTTGGAAAACTTCCGATTTATATGTGAAAAATGAGTACTCCCAAAATGTTGAAGTGCAAATGAAATGAAAGTGTAAAATTTCTAAAATTATAACTATTTATACAAGGGTATTTTAGTCCAATATTTTTTATTATAGGGGTATGGGTATAAGTGTAGGGGTATGGAGTAAAATTTCCTTGTCCATAAACCCATTTGATAAAATAAAAAAAAAACACATACAAGTCATATAACCCATCATACAAAGTCCATAAAAAAATAAAAAATAAAAAAAGAGAACAAAAAGCCCATAGCCTTGGACCGATAAAAAGCTTATGGAACTTAAAAACCTAGATAGCCGTAACACTAAAACATGTCTCTCTTATCTACCAAACTCTCTTCATTTTCTCTATTCCCTCTTCAACACACTTTCTTCATTCAACACCACATAAAATGAAGATGATTAAGCTTGGAAATGAGAGTAAGGAGTGTCTCAAAAGTGAGATAATCTTTGATATTCTGTCACGGATTCCTGCTTTGCCGTTGCTTGGTATGAAGTGCGTTTCAAAAAGATGGAAAACAATTATTTCAAACCGTTCATTCATCAAAGCTCAACTTCTGAAAGCAGAGCTTATTTTGGATGGTTTCATTGTTCAATATGGTAATATGTTAAGCAAACAGGATGTTAAAACTGCTAGTTACATTCTGGTTGAGTCGAAAAATGAGGAGGCTCCAGTAGTTCACCAGAAGATATTCAGTTTTATTCCTGAAGAGGTTCTTGTTTCAGGGTCGTGTAAGGGGATTTTATGATGTCGTAGCTGTTTTTCATCTCCGAATCCAATGTTGTATCTCTGTAATCTTTCGATCATAAAATGGATTCAATTGAAGTGCCCTGTTCGGTTGAGCCATCCGACTTCAAATTGCTTCAGGGCGAAAACGCTCCTAAGCCAAACCCGGTTCAGAATCTCTGACCCACTCTTGCCTTCGGTCAAACCGGAACAACTTCCATCCACGTGGGGCCTACTCTGGTTATACAGCCTCGCATGGGTCCGATCTCTGTTGGAGTCCGTCCCCAACGACAATCTTTCTCCTCAAAACTTCATACCCTTCGCCCACAACCGCAACAACCTTCAAAAACCCTGTCTTCTTCCACCAAACCCATCATCGCCATCAACAACCACCTGCCAAAAAAACTTCCATTTTTACCAGAAACAGAACCGAAAAAAGTAGAAATAGAATAGAAGAAAGAGTTTGGGGTGGAGAAGAATGAGTTTGCAACGGAGTGAATTTTGGGGAGGAGGAAGTCGCACAAGTCAATTCGCCTTCCATTTGCTAAGGCTTGTTCTGGTCTACGTTGGAAGCTACGTTTGGTTTTGAAGAAACGAAACCGTGGATCTGTTTTAAGTTGATTTTGTTGACTTCTTTCCTATTTCTAAAATGTTGCGTTTTGATTGTGGGAGGGGTGATGGGCCTTGGACCCATATGATCCCTTCTCATCTTCATACACCCAATTTTCTTCAATACCCCCATGAGTTTTTTTTCCATAAACTTTAGAGTTTATAATTTTAAACAAAAGTTTTTTTAGAAGTTTTAATATATTTTTCTAATCTGGTTTTTTAGAAGTTTTAATATATTTTTCAAATTTGGTTTTTTAAAAGTTTTAATATATTTTCCAAATTTAGTTTTAGAGTTTTAATATTTTTTCTAAAATGAATTCTTAGAATTTTAACAATTTATTTAGTGATTTTTGCATAAAGAAAAAAGCTTTGCTAAATATTTTTGTTTTTAGTTCATTAAATCATTTTTTATTTTCTTTTATACCACTTTCTTCATCTTATCTCGATCTAGTCTTGGATTTATTTTAGTTTCATTTTAGGGTCAATGACGAGACCTCTAAAATCATTACCGGTCAAATTATTGATAGATAACGGTTTGTCAGAGACCACCTTATTTCTTTTTCAATTTCTTCTTCATTTTCAATTTTATTTAATTTTTCTCGATCTATGAAGTCTTCCGATTCACAAATGTTGGTTTTTAAGGTTGATAACCTTCATTATTTCAAATCTGTAGAAAATGATCATTTGGATCATTTTTCTATACTTTGGGATCGTGAGAGGTTTCCCTCAATTAATCAACACGAGTTTGTGATTAAGACAAGATCCCGCCCTTCTTTTGTCCGTGTGACATGATTAAATCAGATAATGATCTTCAATATCATTTCTCTGTCTTGTCGATATCACGAATATCAATTCACGCGACCTCTTATAGTTCGACTTTCATTATAAGTCGAGCTACGACGGTTTAGCGTCACATTTTGTTCCGATTCGATTCAATAACAAACTAACCACTGACTTTACTTTCCGTCAATATACAACTACTTTTATTTCCAGTCAAATATACCACTGTTTTATTTTCAGTCGATATTATCTTGTTCATATACTCATTGACATTTATTCTGATATATTATTGTGAACATTCTTATACATATTGTTATATATCCTATATATTGTTACATATCTTGTATATATTTATATTCACTTGTACATTCTTTCAAAACACCTAATAATTATCGAAACCATAAAAATCCTAAATTGGTGGATTGTTGGTTGTTTGTCCGAGTGACAGACCTTTGGACATTTTCAGGAACCCTAGCATGGAGTTGTGCCCGACTTTCGCTCAATGCTTATTTTAGGACATATTGCACACACACGGCTTTCTCTTGGGCTACCTGATAATGAGACTTTTTATTTCGTGCAATCCCGTGTAATTTGCATATACCCCTCTCCCATTTTCGATGTATGTATTTCGTATTTCTTTGACTGTGGTTATCTTCTAGGAGCACCCCCAGGGACTAGTATAACCGTTTTCAAACTAATTCTCAATTCGTCATCGAGCCATTTTCAAATACGCCTCTATAAGTCGAGTGCTCGTCTGCATTCGCCATTAACCTATTGCACTCACTATTGCACTTCATTGTGGACTCGATATTAGGAGCACCCCCAGGGACTAGTATCGTTTCTCACGCCTTAACCCTTGACTCGTCGTCAAGCCAATTCAATTTTCAATCAAAACCCTCAACTCGTTGTCGAGGTATTTTCAAACTCACTTCCATTCCACCATGTTTTTGCACGCGAATATAAGTCAAACCCTTGATCCAACGTCAAGCGGATTTTCTCAACAAACTGTTAAACCAATTCACCACTTCTTCTTTTACAACTTTTCTCCTAAAACCTTGGTCTCGCACCAAGTGCATTTTCAAACTCTTTTTCCTAATAAAACTTGAATGGTTGTGGAGTGGTTAGGCGTAGACCTTCTCCTATCCCGAGTGCTTAACATTACCTTTAGGGTTTACTATTGTAAAACACTTACCATTCAAGATCAAAATACCTTTAATAAGAGAATGAAGTTCTCTTTGTATTGAACTAAAGAGAGAGGATTTAGTACAGACTTCTTCCTCTCCGAGTATCAGGATACTCACTGTAGAGTGTGTGGTCTCGATACTCGTCTTTCAATACAAAGACGTGATTGTATTCACCACAACTTTTCACAATAATTCTTTTGAGGTAAAGAATTGGGTACTACCCGCAGGGGTTACTATCCGAGGACCTATTTCACCCTTAAAAATAAACTCACAAATCAAATATAACATCTTGCCTCGATGGCGAAAACTCTCTCTTTAAAAAAGGGATATGTTACATCCGTTCTACCGCAAACAGGTAACGCCTAAGACTCCACAAGCGAGTTGCAATGCACCTAACTGCTAGAATGCGTACGTCATCGTCATCCATCAAAAACACCGGTTAACCATAGGATGAACTACAACTGCTCTGATTCCTCATTCCCTAATGAGGATACGTAGGCACAAGGATCTCTATCCTTGACGAGCACACTAACAACTAACTTCCCCTTCTCTTGCCCCAGTGCAATCGAAACCAACCTGTTATTCGAACCTTTTCTCTCACCTCAGTGTGATCGAGACCTTTTCTCGTAGTTACCCGAACTACGTTTACTCTGATTTCTCATACCAGATGAGGATATGTGGGCACAAGACAATGATGTCTTGGCGAGCAACCTTCCCCCCAACACCCGTAGTTTTCTGAACTACGTTGACTCTGACTTTCTCATATCTGTTGAGAATACGTAGGCCTAGGACCGCAAAGTCCTACCGAGTCTCTTCTTCCCCTTTTTATCTGTTTTTTCCTATTTCTAACCTCTTTTTATCCCTTGGAACACTCTTTATAACAATATCTCTTAGAAAATATCTTCACACATAGATAAACAAATGGTTCCCATCGAGTACGATGGATGCGAGGGGTGCTAATACCTTCCCTTCGCATAACCGACTTCTGAACCCTTTCTCTTGGTTGCGAGACCATATCATCCGTTTCTTTCTTAGGGGTTTTCTCGATTTTTTCCCTTCCCCTTTTGGGATAAATAAAGTTCAGTAGAGACTCTTCTATCTTTTCATTTTCGCCTCTCCGTCGTTGCATTTTTCGAGTAGCGATACATGAAACATGTGTAACAACAACATTTTCATCAATGCTATTCAAACAAAACTCATGTAAACAAGTTATAACTTGAATCAAACATGGTATATGAATCAATTAAAGACCAATGTAACACATTTAATCATATTCAAGACATATTGATGACAATCAATCATGGATAGGCAAGAAAAGTAACAATAGCTCAAGCATGGATTCAAACTTCACAAAGGGAAAGACAAACAAGATTCATGGTAACTTACAAGGAAAGAACAACCCTAAACATGTTATGGTTCTAACAAGACGCATAAACAAGTAATATGGGGGGTGAAGGATCATGTTCATGAGGTTACAACATCAAGAAATATATCATGGCTCACAAAGAAGTTTTAAGGCATACTTTTTGCATTCATGCATTTACAAAGGCAAGTATAATCATGGTAAAGAAAAAATCCAAGTGTTTTCAAACATATAAACATGTTATACATTCAATAATGATTCATACAAGATCAATCTTGCAAGAAAAATCAAGTACTATGTCAAGAATGTTCATGAAAACCAAAGAAAACCCTAAAAAGGACCATGTCATACAAGTGGACCAAAGTGTTTCAAAAATAACAATTTTTGAATTCTTTCTACACACATTGAAACTAGACATACTAAGGAGAATAGTTTAAAAAGAGTGGCATCAAAATGATAAAAATAAAAGAAGTTATGCACATTTGAAACCTAGGCACCAAACTAGGCAACTAAGGCAAAAAAAAAAAAACAAGGCAAGCAAAACCAAGGCAAGACAGATTTTGCAAGAAGGGTCATAACTCTCTCAAAACTTAATCAAATTGGATGAAATAAAAAAGAAACTTTTTTATTTTTTCACAAGGAATCCAATGGTGGTGGTGGTTTTCTCAGATCATGCACCATGTGAAAAACTCGATAGCATCATTGAAAAAGACATGTTATGTTCAAGAGCAATGTGACAGTCCAATGTACATGTTCTAAGCCGTAAGTAGTGAATCAATCACAACATACGAGACATATAGAGAGTGCTTACAAACATCATACATCAATAGACAAGCTAATTCAATAGATGGCATGTGTAGTGGCAAAAATAACAAGCTTGTGGAAGATCAAAGCAACAAATAGAAATGTACTAATCCAGCATCAACTAAATGATCAAACATATTACATATGACCTATAAATGATGTTTACAAACACCAATCATATATGTCTAACCAGAATCTATAAGTTGCATATTGCAATGACACTTAAAGTAAGCTAACAAGCCAAACCAAAAGGGCCGTCATGAATGCCCAAGTTTATGAGCA